CCACCTCTCAGAACAAAAAATTTTACTGTTAAAATGTTAGATACCAATTTCATCCTCCCTAATCCTTGTAAACGTTCTGTTTTCTATGTTTTATAACAAATCTTATTATACATGTATAAAATTTATTAGTATATATTATTTTGGATATTAATATCTACCTCTGTAATAGATTCAGCAATTTTGGGGGGCTAGCTCATATTTTTTACCTTAAGCTGCCTTCATGAAAATACTATTAAAACATCTTCCCCCAGCTCCAAAGCCATCTTCCAATTTTGAAAATTTCTAGAGGGCTAATCCTATTGGTCTTATTTTCAAGAATGTGTACAAGGGCAGCATACTTCTAGGTGTTTTTGTTGCTGTTTTGCTTTGCTTTTAATTCTGGTGGCTCTTCGATAGTGCTTAAGAGAAGAGCTGATTCCAATGTATTCAGTCTGCCTTTCTTGAAATCTTTTATTTTAATATTAGTTCATTTTAATACCTTTGTGTAAGTTTTGGTGAATATTTTAGAATAAGCAGAGGACTTTCGCCATTTTTTCCTAAGTTGATCTGACTGGGGCAGTGTCTTGGTGGAGTCTTCTAAGCTCAGGAATTCATAGTTGTTGCCCAAACTGGACCTATCTGCCTAAAATATCTTTCTAGGAAAAGCTATTGTTTCTAGTCCCTGAAATTAGACAAGTTATTAGACACTAGGGAGTCATAATAAAAGTATGTCATTTAATTGTCCTTGGGAAGGTGTATCACCTGCAGGTGGATTATTTCTACATTGTAATGGAGAATATACTCGATTTCTAATAAACCTGGTAACAAAAATCATATATAAAGATAACTGTTGATTGATAAATTTACTTTTAGAAGATTCTTCCATTCAAGGATTTAGTATAGAGTTGCTATAGCTTAAAGTTCTGGATATCTCCCTTGCAAATACATGGGATTTAAGGCACAGAATTAAAGAGTTTTCAGAACGCAAACTGAACACCTCAGGGAACTGAATCAACTGTGAGATAAGGAGGAAGAGTTTAAAATATAGCATAAGCAGAGATAAAGAGCCAAAAAAGAACAACAAGCTTTTCTCTCCTTTGCTGAGGAGCACAGCAGCACGAGGCAGGCAGGAGGGAGTGGAGCAGTCTCCCGTTTGAGGAGGGGGTGCGAACCTGGTAGAAGCTTCCTTCGGGCCATGGCCGCCGCCCGATGACTCTCGTACTCCACGAAGGCAAAGCCCCGGTTTTTGGTTTTATCCGCCGCACTCGGGTAGACGATGACATCCACCACTCCGTCGGTGACCTTTTTCATCTCTGATAAGATTTCTTCTCTCTTTTTAGTTTTCGGGATTCCCCCTACGAACAATCGGCAGTTGTCCACGCTGGCACAAACCCCTAGGAGGCGCCCATTTCTGCAAGAAGAACAGGCATTTCTACTGGTGAGAATCCCTGTGTGATTCAGTCGGTTTAAGATGGAAGTTGAGGGTGGGGAGGGTATAGCACGTACTTAGCATGCACAAGGTCCTGGGTTCAATCCCCAGTACCTCTATTTAAAAAAATAAATAAATCCAATTACCTACTTCCAACCCCTCAAAAAAAAAAAAAAAAGAAAAAGAAAAAGATGGAAGTTGAAAACGTATGGCCCTGGCCCTGGCCCTGGCCCTGATAAATGGACTGTGGATATGGAATGTTTGGTTGTCTTAGTGTTTTAACTGGTTTTAGAAAGCTGTAGCTGCTTTTGAGAAACTGGAAGGTCTGTCAGCATTGGCTCTACGTTGTTAAAGGGAAAAACGTATTTGAAGCTGAGTAGCATCTGCTGTCTTTAGACTAGATGTAGATTCACTATTACTGTCAGTCCTCACCACTCCCTAATACATCCCCCATCTTGAGGCCTTGATACCTGGCCCACTCTACCCATGTCACCTGCCTGGCTGCCCTGGAGGTATCTGAGGTTGCAACCCGTGGTGCTCCCTTTCTGTTCCAACCAAATAGAAGCTTTTTTGACAGGATCACTATTCAAGATAGTCCCTTATACAGAACAGATTTTCATACATTATTTGGCTGACACAAGGAGCCTATGAAATGGGCAGAAGTATTGTTTCCATTTTTCAGTCGAAGAACTTGGGACTGCAAAAAATTAAGCGACTTGCTTAAGACTTTGTAGATTTTAAGAGATAAAATTGGCCTGTGGACTCAGTTCAATCCCTGTTCCTTCCTTCCACTGTACAGTGTTGCTTATTAGCAAGTTGACAGATGCTTTCGTTGGCAAGGTGTAGTTTGGTTCAACTTTTCTGGGGGACATTTGGCAAAATGTATCCATGGTCTTAAGTGTGCAGAACCTTTGACCAAATAATGCCCCTTTAGGGGGAGTGTCTTTAGGAAATAGAGATGAGCACCAGCATTTTTGTGCCAGGTTAGTCTCTGCTACTATTTAAAATAGCCTCCAAATTGGAAATGAACAAAATAATCCATCATACGGGACTGGTTTAATGTATCTCAGCTGCGATGACATTGACTCTGGGGCTGGATATTTCCTCATTGTATACCGTGATATGTTTGTCATTCCAGCTTCTTGCCCACTAAATGCCAGTAGCCACCCGTTAGGTCATCCAAGAATGCCTCTTCATCTTTGCATAATGTCCCATAGGGTGGACAATACTGCCTCTGGCTGAGATCCTCTGGCTGAGATAAAAGATTGGTGTTCATAACATAGAGTGCTCTGTAGTCATTAAACATAGTAGTGTAGGAGAATATTTGCTGGTTGAAAAAAGCAGTTCACATTATGCTGCTAGGTTAGAAAAAAGTCTGTAAAACGAGTATGTGAGAAGGCCATTTTGATTAAAACTATAGAAAATCTAGAAAGACAATAAAAAGTCAACATAGCAATTATTTGGGGGCAATAGGGTAATGAAAGAATGGTTTGAACTTTTATTACTTTTTTTTGTTGCTGTTTTTACGTGTGCATATTAGCCTATGTGATTTCTGTAATAATACGAAGTTACTAAAATTGGATAAAGTTCTCTTAACAAAAACCACTCATTTGTCATGAATAAAATGTACTCAGCCAGGTGAGTGGGAGATTGCTCTGATTTCTTGAAACTAGTGGTTCTCAGTTGTGACTCTGACCGGCATTGAGCCCCTGTCCTCATTGTCTTCCATGCTTTGCTGAAGAACCAAGGACCACATATCAGATCTTTGGCAAGTCCATCTCTGTTTGGTGAATATTGCCCTAGGAATGTGGTTTTTCTGGGGAGAGGGAAGGGTTGATAAAGTGATCTTTCAGGGTTTTTTTAACTTATACATTTTGCTGCAAGATATTATTTATTTAGAAATTATATTTTTGATAATTAGGGGGCCTGTCAGATATCAGTTACCAGTAGGGGGCGCCTGGAGTCTCCATATCCTGTTTAAATCTGTGGTTTGTCAGGCACCTTTCCCAGAACTGCTTGGAGATGAAATGCTATCTTTCAAAAGCTGAGGGCATGACTGTAATGTCTCTAAGAAGCCAGGCATTTAGACAATGCTCAGTGAATATTTGATGATGAGGAGGAGGATATGACAATTGTGGGTCTTTTCCGGATAAGAACCTTTTCTATCCCTTGAGAAATAGTGGCTAAAAACAAACCAAAGATTATTCTCTTCTCTACAAGAAAGGTTCTGTTTCTGGCAGGACTGAGCCAAGGCAGACTGGAAGTAGGTGAGGTTGGCTCTGGGGTGTCTACTCTGCTATTCCACATTTCATTTAATCTACTGCTTAAAATTTAAAGTCATGCTGTGCCTTCACCTTTCTTCTGGCATCCAACGAACTTTGACTGGAATTTTGGCCACCAGCATTTTTTCCAAATATTCTGTTACATTTCTCCTCTTCCTTTCCCCCACCTCCTGCCATCACCACTGGCAAACGTTTAAAGAGCATCTGACATGTGTCAGGCTGAACTTTAAATGCATTACCTCCTTTATTTTTCATAGCAACCCCCCTATGAGGTAGGTAGATTTTTCTCTCTTTCATGGATGAAGACACTAAAATTCACATAAGATACTATTTTTTAGTGGATTGTATTCCTTGTTCGGAGCCTGTTTTCAAAAAGTTTTGACAGGCTCTGGTGTATAACAGTATGGTGAGCAGATACAGTGAACCCAGTTGATTCCCTACATAGCCCGTTCTGCATCCGTCTCCACTTAAGAGGTATTTTGGAAATAACCCTTACTGTTAAGATGTCTAGGTTTCATGAAAGACCAAGGAATGGAGAATCCTCTAATTCCTGTAAACATGTAATTGTAATATTAAAAAGCTATATTAAGGTGGGGTGGGTATGGCTTGGTGGTAGAACACATGCTTAGCACGCACAAGGTCCTAGGTTCAATCCCCAGTACCGTCATTTAAAAAAAGAAAAAGAAAAAAGCTGTATTATAATGTAGCTTTTTATAGTCCTTTCCAAAATAATTTATTATGTTTTTTCTCATATATTGGGTGCTGAGAATAATGATATAATCAGATGATAGTATAAAACTGATGCTGAAAGAAGTCAAAAGATTTATCCAAGAGAACCTGGGCTAGACCTCAGATCTTCTGATTCTCATACCAAAAAATCCTCCCTATCAGAGCTCTTTTGGATCCATGGAAGCATGTATGGGAGGGAAGCCTCCTTTATGTCTTTTCCAAGACTCTGTTCCAGAATCTAACCTTGGGACTGAATGACTAGGCTGCTAGTGGTTGCCAAATCCAATCAGTCTTTATGGGGCTAACGGGTTGAAGAAAAATGATCCAGTAGTTGATTGACTTACAGAATTACAGGGATAATGCATGCCTTAATGGTAGGAAATCTACTCTCTCTGTATTCATCAAATTTAAGATTCCATCAATTTTAAGGTGCATCTCTGTTACAGAAAGGAAATATGTAAAACTGCATCTCTGAATTAATGTGCCTAATATGAAGGAGTTCTATCATTTATTTACCTATTATTGTGCTCTAAATATTTGGTTAAACATTTAAAAATCTTGATACTTTATAGATGAGGAAATTGAGGCTCAGAGAGGTCAAGTCACTTTTTGGCACTCTGCTGAAGCCTGCCTGACCCCAAGCTATTGCTTTTTCATCTAATGTACTGATCTTTCTTCTAAGTGGCCCAGGACTTCCGTAAAGGATTTATGACAGTTCCCTCGCAAAAGTGAAGGTTTTAGAACTCAGACAATTTCATGAAGTTAGCTCTGTTGCCAGTTTTTGATTTGTATGGTGTCAGTTATGTCTTGGAACCCTCTGCTAATCTCATGGTTCTAAATATTACCTATATTTGGCTGACCCCCAAATTTCTATTCCAAAATGACCATTCTGCTGACTCCAGGATCCTGCAGCCCCACCCCCACCCCCACTCAGCACCTTCCCTGGGGTGCCTGATGTGCATCTCAGATGCAAACTACCTCAAACAGAGCTCTTGATGTTTCCTGCTTTTCTCCCTCACAGCCTTTTCCACCTCAATGACACTATCACATCCACAGATACTTGGACCAAAATTCTAATTTTCTTCCCCAAATTATAAATTCACTCATGTTCTAAATCCAATATTTAGCCAGTCTTGTCTGTTTCAACTTCCAAAATATATCCCAGGTCTGACTTTTTTTTTTTAACCACCTTCACCACTAACTCTCTGTGCAACCAGCATCGATCTCTTGTCTAGTTCTCAGCTACTGCAGCACCCTTCTAACCAGCTTCCCTCTTTCTGTCCTTACCCTGCTGCAGTCCATTCTTCACCCAAAGCCAGAGTTATGTTTTAAAAAGCACGAATCTAGTGAAAACCCTCCTATGACTTCTCCTTTTTATTAGAATAAAATCCAAATTGTTAATCTCGGAGTATAAGGCTCTCCAACCGTATTGCCTTCAACCCTCCTCTTTTTACTCTGTAACAAACGTTGGCTTCTTTTACTGTCCCTCTGACACTTCAAGCTTGTTCTCTTGGGACCTTTGCACTTGCTGTTCTTTCTTTCTCTGAAATACTCTTCCTCCAGGTCTGACTGTCATGCCTGATTCTTTGCATTCGAGTCTCAGATCAAATTTTACCTTCCCGAAGACTATTTTCTTCGTTAGTTATTTTCAAGTTAGAGTAGCAACCTCCTTAGACAACTTTATCCCATTTCCCAGTTTAATTTTTTCAAACTCTTCTAAATAATCTTATACATCCATTTGCTTACTATGAGGGTAGGAAAGTGTCCTGTGATGTTTCTAGTATTTTGAACAGTGCCCAGCACGTATTTATGGAATGGATAAATTAATGAATTTTCTTTGAACATTTTACAGAACTTAGTCTGGCACCTTATTTAGTGATGATTTAATAAATGTGTTTAGTGATTAAATAAATAATTCATTAAATTGATTTCTTAGCAAGAGAACTAACCTTTTTATTTTGGCTATCTTTTGCATATATTGTATTAGATAAACTTGATAGAAGAACAGGTAAAGGTACAATGTCTGATTCACTTTTAATCTAGAAGAGGTGGAGCTTACCTAATTTCATAATTATTAAGTTGCTTGATGGCGTTCTTGGCTTCCTGTTTATTTGAGAATGTTACAAATGCATATCCTCTATTGTTGCCATTAAAATCCATCATCATTCTCATTTCATAAATTTTACCAATCTACAAGTAATAAAAAAAAGAATTTATACATTTGTACTTCCAAATGAAAACACACACACACACACA